CTTCTATTGTAGCTTCTTGATGAATAGTGCCAGTGTAAGGCACTGTATTGAAGTAACTCTGGGTAATTCTGTCTGCATTAAAAATGATTGTCTGGTTAACTGAGACAAGCTTGAATACAACTGATTTCCAATATTTATTATTGACACCATATAATTAGCAGAATTGATTCCTTGTTTGTTATTGTAAATTAAAGAGCATAAACTCATCGCAACACATATATTGTTGTCCTGAATTTTGTCCAAATACCAACTCATTAGCTTGGCTATATGGTGCCGTTATTGTTTTGTTAGGGTCAATGTACATTGGAGTAGGACCACGGTTTTTCTCTACATCTGAACTCAGTTGAAATTTACAAGAGTTTGATACGTGTGTCAGGACTCTTACAAAGACACATGGGTCTCACCGTCTATTACAAGAAAACATTGATACATACCGACCTGCTCTATACTTCAATTGAATTATCCTTTGATATACCCTCACAGAACAATTCAACAAATACTTCTTCTCATGTTGTGTAACTTTATTTAATCTTACCCTCTTCGTATTAAGCTTACAAATGTTCTTTGTAACTCTTCTAACCTTCACATAACGACGTAACCAAGAGGAATTCGGTATGCTTGGATGAATATGCTCATAAACAAATTCCTTCAGGTTTCTGCCCTTTCTTCTGAGATGTTTCAGATCAGCTTCTTGTATTCTACTGGGTTCTCGATCACGTTTAAATAAACGGTTGTGTTTACATGTAAACATATAATGAGATAGCTCGTTTGATATAGCAAAGAGTAGTCTTCTTTAAAATAGTGAGTAGTCTTCTTAAATTAGTGAAATACTCTAAGCTAAAGTTTTACACTAAAAGTAGGATTTTTCCCAACATATAAGTCTTTCACCTCATTTTTAAGTAACATTCTCCTTAAAACTAGTTTTGAATTTTTAGACAAGAATTTTCTACCCTTAAAAAAGGAAACCACCCTTTACTAAGGGTGCATTACTTATGAAAGTGTCACGACACTAACATAATAAGGATAAAACTCAATGC